TGACTGGCGCATAATACTCCCAGGAGCACTTAAGTGTTGCATATTTGCCAGCCATCAATTTGCCCCATACACCTCACATATGTTTCATCAACTTTTTGTTGTTCTTTTTACCTCCAATTATCTCTCCCACTCTTCTTGAATAAAAGTTGTGCTGTGCCTAATAGTTGGGACGTCAGTGTGTGGCTGACTGTGTACGTGAAAAGTATTGCATACTTATCGGCGGCTGCCTCTTCTGCAGGCCTCTCGCTTCTTTCACTTTCGCTCATCTATTTCCCTCTTTCTATCAAATACTTTAAGTTTCCCTTTGCCAATCTCTTGGCAATGCAATTAGCAAACTTTTCTCCGTGCCCTCCAAAGTTTTCAGGCCATAAACTTGCGAGTGCGAAGGCAATTTTCTTCACAAATTATTACACATACGCCATGCGGCCATTACCAAGTGCCTGAGAGCCACTTTTTGTTGGCCTAATGATAGCAGTGACGGCCACGTGCATTTGTCACTAGTAAAACGCGTTTTTATGGCTGAAGTAAAGAAATTTTATGTCCTTAATGGGGGAATTGTGAATGGGGGCGGCTCGCTGCGCATAGGCAGAAATACCTTTAATGCCATATCATGCCCGATTCCATAGATAAAATTGGTCAGGCTAATCGCGTAATAGGAAATGGAACATTGGCCATCAATTATAGATTTAACCGAAGGCCAAACACACACGAAATGTGTTCTATATCAGAGAACTTTAGTCAATAAATCAAGCTCGAGGCCAATCATCAATTATTTAGACATGGGTCAGCAAGTGTCATATACTGCTGGCACAGTCTCTCTTTCTATATTTCCTCCTCGCCCTTTCTACCTCTCGCTCTGTCTCGCTCTCTGCGCTCACCTGTTGACATTCTTGCTGTTCTATTTCCGTGCGACAAGCTAAAGTGTGCATACTACCTCTCTTTCTTCCGCCACCTGCATCTCTCTTTCACTCACTTTGTAGGCACTTTATAAGCCCTTTGTGTGCCTCAAGTCTGTTGCTTGCTGTTTGGCTTATTGGCCCTTTGCAATGGCAATGTGACGTCATTCCTGGCTGGCTTTTCACCCTCATTTCCCTGCCGTGGCAACAGAAATTGGCGTCCTGCTGGTTGTCTGGCACCCCCGCCAGGCGGAGCTCTGCTTCTGTTGCTGCTACCGTGGCCCGACTGTAGTTAGCTGTGGCTCGGATTATCATGTTTACTCAACACGCAACGAACCACAGCCGAACGCAAGTCTGTCCGACCTTATCACAGCCCCAATGCCTAATCGTTTGTCGTGGTTTTGGGTCTAGCTCAACGAGCAGTTCTGCACAGGGCACTGAGGTGAGAATAAACATTTTCATTGTATTCCCATGATTGTGCTTAACCAACAAAGAAACGATTATTCAGCTGCGACCAAGACGCGTGCACACCATATGGATCACCCATTCATAATTAGCACATTTCGATGCCGTGCCCGCCATGTCTCGCGATGCTCTCGGATAAACGCCCAAAAACAAAACATCTAAAGGGAAATTTGAAATTCTTACCCCCAAACAGGTTTTTGGGCTAGATAATATTTTCTCGATTTTCTTGCAACTTTGAATAATTCATGAAAATTCTTTTCGACATATAAACAAGATATATGTATGTATGTATGTATATTTTGCGTGTTTGTGTTTATTTTGCTATCAGCCCCCAGATGTCGATTTTGGAAATTGTTTTTTTTCGTACTGCCTTCCTTCATTGAATTATGCATGGATTATTCATGCGAATTTTTCAGACTATTCCATGTCCTTGAAGCTCTTGAAAATGCAGGAGAATTGCAGGGCCATACCCTGGGCGGTGGGGATATTATGGGTGGTACGTTGCTTGCGGTTGATGGACTTATCTCATTTGACAGCCCATAAATGCTGGCGTCAGACTGCTCTTTCATTAACTGTCGAGCTAACGATCAAATTAAAGTAAATTACGCCTTACTACTGATGGCCAGGCTTACGCTGATGCCTCATAAGAGCCTGTAAAGCAGGGATTACTCGCTGTATGTGTGAGTGTGTATTTGTGTGTGCTTGGGCGGTAGGTTTGGGTGGCAGGGTGGTAATAAGAGTGCTACAATAATGTGCTGCCCCGAAGCTTTCGTTTTAATTAACTGGGCTACCTTTCTGCCGGGGCCGCGCACTTTTTGGGGTCAAGTAATTACAACTTGCCAGCAAACAAGAGAAAGCCTGACAGAGAGTTTTGTAGCAAGTGGAAACTGTCACTGCAGTTGGAAAGGCGCTCTCCCGTGTCATCTGTTCCAACATTATTCCCAGCTGCGTTTGTGCCAGTTTCCCCATTCAATTTATGGCTTTTTCAGTTCAATGTGCAAACACTTAATGTTTGGCAATTTGCAGATGGGCGGCTGCCATTTCAATCAAGAGTTGTTCGAGAAAATATATACAGAAACAGTGGCACACGGAGACACAGGGACAGGGCGGTAGATACCTCGTGGCCCTCATTGGCGACAGTGGGCTCTCCCTCACCCTCTCCGTCGGTGGTCTGCTTTCACAGCCATGATGTTGATTTGTAAAATGGCCGCATTAATAAGGGTGAAATTAGAATGGGGGGGAGGGTGAGGAAGCATAGGAGAAGAGCGCGAAATGAGCGCCAAGCGATAATTAAAAACAATATCAAGCCAAATAGCACGCGACATCTAGACAGGACAGAAGCAGAGCAAGCAATGTGTTGGCTATTCATTTAGCCATGCCAACTGCCATCAAGTGCTCCGCCATGCTCTGCTCTGCGTGTCTATATATATGTACATACATATTTATATGCACATGTATGTGTGTGGGGTTTTGTGTGTGTGTTAACCGGAAGCGCAGCGGCATGCAAAGGCGCCATAACTGCCATGACGAACAGCAGCAATGGGCCAAGCGAATGGCCCCGCGAATTTTTGCCAAGAACCTGTGCGTGCGGGGGTCAGAGGCCATTCGTCCCAGGCTAACCCGTTGCCTGACATGGCGCCAAAAACATAGCGAGGTGTGTCAGAAAACTAAAGCAGCTGTGTATCAAATATATTCCATGTGCAGAACGAACTATAATAACGGCCAGTTCTCTAGGGTAATTGCAATCTAAGTGTACAACTAAACCGTAGATTTCTTGGCTGGTCTTGCATATTGTATTTAAGTATCGATACATGTAACCATGGTAAATATTTTTGTATCCAAGGAAAAGTCAAAGTTGAGTATTTCGAAGACCACATAGATCTTCGCCGGCGGGCAGTTCTTTGAAGTCAAAATCTCTCTTTATCTTTCATCGCCCGGCAACAGAGGATGAGCTTTCAATGTTGTATATTTGAGGACCTAATAGCTCTATTAACCTCTTTCATTTCACTACAGAAATACCCCCCACAAGAACATCTCAATCCCCCCTCGGATGTGGTGGGCACAATTTATGCGCAAACTAATTTAGACAAAGCCGCACTCGGTCCGAATAAAAATAGCACGGGCAAATTGAGCTGTGCCTGTGCTGCCACAAAAACCGCTCCGCTCAGCAGTTGGAGTGGCGCAGCAACAGCAGCATTGTGGCAGCATCAAAGGGAGTCACGTTGGGGCCCAAAGGATGAGGGATAACTAATTGTGTACGTGTGTGTGTGTGGAAGGAGCGCTGCTTAAAAATACACACAGCAGCAGCTGTCACGGCTGTCGCCGTTCGGAATACCTGGCATTCCCGCTCCCCTAATGGCCAGGTGGCAAGTCAGTGCTGCAGCAATCCCCACTACCCTCTACACTGTAGCCAAATGATGGCTTATCAATAGGTTAAGCAACACTTACACATCCTGTCACATCCGTGCCAGAGAGCGGCCTGAAGAGGAAGTCAACCAGTGTGTGTGTGTGTGTGACAGTGCCTGGCGGTGGTGTGTGTTTGAGGTCACCAAGGCGAATGCATTAAAATTTTGGTGCCAGAGACGTCGCGTCCTTCGCTGCTCGCTGGCTCTTTAGGTTTCTCATCGCATTTTGGGCTTTTATTTGTATGCTCCTGCTCCTGCTCCTGCTCTCTTTCTCCTTCTCCTTCACCCTCTTTTATTTTTCTATGGTCCGGCCTGGTTATGCTTTCAATGGTATTTCCATTTGCGGTTTAGGCCAAATTTTTTTTCTACTACACTGCACTGCACTCGATTAAACTCGTTTTAAAACACACACGCAAGATGAATGGTCCGGGCGGGGGCGGGCGGACTGCGAGGTCGTTCCAGGACTCTGCGTACGGAATGGAGGAAACTCTTTCACAGAACGCGCGTTTGCCTTCACTGAATGGCGCGTCCGCGACTTCGTTGTTCCATCCGAATTTGTGGAGAGATTTTGCGCAAATGAATGCATGGCGAGAGCTTTTGGACGCTAGCTGTGTGAGCTTTCGGCTGAGTGAGCGCCTTTGTTGGGTGGGGTGGGGAGGTGAGGGTAGGGCAGGCAGAGAGGTGTACTCTGGCACTTCAAATAGGATAAACAAGCCAAAGGTAAACACGATTGTCAACAACTCGATTACTTGTTAAAGCTAAGCTTTTACATAATGAAAAATAGCCAAGCAATTTTCAAGCAGTTCTTAGTACAATTAATCAAATTAAAACATGCCCCCAAACTATCGCTGGGCCCTTTCAACAGCTGCAAAAGCAAAATATGCCGACGAGAGTGCGTAGGGAGAGGGAGCATGGTAGAAGAGGCTGCAGGCAGAGATCACACTCTCCGGCGATAGATAACGCGAACTAGCCTGGGCCGAACACGAAGCTGAGGCTGTGCCAATCAATGTTAGATTTATATAGGGTGATGCATTGTCGGCGAGCAGTCGGATGCATTGGTATGTTTGTATTTTTCGCACTCTCCGTATGTCTGCACGTAGCGACAGTCGCATGCACAAAACCTATTTCAAACCATTGTGAGAGCACTTTCTTACCTTTTATTAACAGACCTTGCACTGATCCCTCGGCCGCATCAGCCTCGAACGAAGCGCCAGCGCACACGATTTCAGCACCGTTGCTCAATCACTCGGGAGTTTTTCAGCCGCTTGGAACGTGTGCTCTTTGGCCATCAGATTGGATGCTGATTTGGAAAGTGTTCTCCAAAGTGCTTTTTGTGTTGTAAATCAGTTACATTGCCAATCAAAAACCAACCATTTTGTGAATACTGAAGACTTGCGGCTGGTTCGAAAGTCGCTTACATCGCACAACGAGAAAAAACTCATCAAGAGCAACTTCAACAGGGGAAAAAGAAAAGAGACCGGTAAGTAGGAATGCATGTTCTAGTCGGTCCCTGCGCTTTGTTCGCTGCTTCTTCGCCGTGCGCCATTGCACGGAAACTACCGTTATCAGTGTGTAGGCGGGGTCAACGTCGCAGTTAGTTTGCAGTTCTTCGCTCTATCTGCCAGTCCTCCTCCCACTCCTCTCTGCACCATCTTCTTCGACACATCGTGCTGAAATCGCGTTACACTGTACAGCTCAGTGCTGGACCTTACGTACGGTACGTGTGTTCTGAGCGTAAGTATGTGGATTTTTGCATTTTTCGATACACTTTGATCCCAAGAAACAAATTTTTGATAATTTTATTATTTTTGCTGTTTGATTGTATTTTATTTCGCGTACTTTCTGGGCGATGCAATAAGCGCTATAAATATAAAATAAATCATTGTGAATGCTTGTGTAATTGTATTTTATGGACCAGATTTCTTTCTTTCATATGCGAATTGATGAGATTATTTACTATGAATGATTGGACCAAAAATAAAAAACATAATATATGTAGTATTAGTGTGATTAAAATGATATCAACTAAAAACAATATCACAGATACACGTGGTATAATAGATGCAATGTTTGCAAGTACTGGGAGATTTCCTCTTGAACATCATATATGTACATACATATGTACATATGTATACAAATGGAACTAATGATAACCTCGCTTATTATGACCATAGCTTCCTCCAGCACATAATCAGAACTACTCATAACCTCCCACACCATTGACTTAGAAACATCCACCCAAGCACGTCTCACGGCCGCAATCGATGCTACAAACTATTCTAAGCGATTCCATCTACTTCCAAGCGGAATCGTACAAAGTTCACATTTTCTAATTTTATAATACTTTATTTGTTTTGATTTGTTTTATTTTTTCGTACATTTTTGTTGCTTTTGTTAATTTTTTGTCGTTAGTCATGGCGGTGGAAGGCATAAAGTACTCGTAATATAGCTCTAATATAAGTTTCGCCAGACGGCAGCAACAAAAGCGCTAAGTCGGGTCTCAAAAGTGGAAAAGTGCGATGTGCCGATTGGGGGCGATAAGCGCATCCACTTTCAGTTCCACGGACAGACGACGGAACTGTCCCAAGTCTATTAGAAATCCGGGGCGCTAGGTATTCGGTTTGCTCGGCTGGTTATCACGCGGAACGAAAGCGATCTCAGGGCCCGATTTTGTACCTTAACGATACTAGAGTAATTTGCGAAAATCTGTTGCGCCATAAACTGGAATATATGACAAAATATAATCAGAAAAAAAAAGTAAAAGTTAATGAAATAATATGTCTATTAATCACACACAGTCGCAGCATCAACATGGCGCAGGAGACAGAGGCAGCAGGGGGTGTCAAGGGTCAGCCCCGAGACCATATCGACGAGGATGAAGTCACGGAACTGCAGCAGGCACGCAGCTTTTACGACGGAGTGCGGGAGAAGGCCGAGCGCTTTGCCAGCACGCGCTTTGGTCAGTTTGTCATCGAACGTGCAGATCGAGCACTTCGGATGATCGAGGACACGGCCAAGTGGAGTCTGCCGCAGGGTAAGAAGTGCATGCTGCTAATAGCCAATCATAAATAACTGAAAATTCGCAGAAAAATCTGCTGATCCTTTGCAACGTCCGCTGCCGTGGGGTCCGTTCTTGTTGCTGATCATTATGCTGCGTCTCACCCGCATGTGGTTGTCGGTGGGCGCATTGATGATCGGCAACAGCCCCATCTCCCCCTCGGATATGGTCTACTTCATTCAAACCAGACGCCGGAAGTTAAGGGCAATTCGATTGCACGGTCAAAAGGTGATGCGGCAGCGCCAGCAAGAAGTGTCCTATGGCAGTGGCAAGGGCTTGACCTACAAGCTAACTCAGTGGTTTTCCCGGGCTATTTGCCGCCCTGGAGTTCAGAGGGCCAACAGCGGGCGACTCTTCCAGGTGCGCAACATGGAGCAGGTGAGTCCAGGAGTGCTACCAGAAACAGAGGTAAAGAAAGTAACTGCTTTTTCCATTCGCAGACTACACAGACCAGTCCGGCTGTGATGAAGCGTCCGCGAGAGGAGGAGGCGAACGCTGATGGTGATGCTGATGCCGACCACAATCTTACCATCGATCAAATGCTGGCCAAATATGCCCAGGAGAACTCGGAAGATGACTCTGACTTCGTGCCCAATCCCGATGAGGAGGAGGAAAGCAGCGACGGCACCAGCTCCGAGTCCAACACCAGCGAGGAGATCAGCAGCGATGAGGCAAAGGAAATTGGCAGTCAGGTGTGATATCACATATCCATTGAATAGTCCTGAATTTCCCTTGAACATTGATTCTTCCCAGGCCGCTCCAAAGCCCCCAACTTTGGTGGTGGAAAACGGTGTCCACAAGGCAGGGCCCAACGAGAGGAAAGACAAGGAAATGGAGTTGGCAAAGGAAAATGACAAGGGAAAGCTGAGCGCCACGACAACCAGCAACGGCGGCCACGACAAGGAGCAGGCGGAAGTTGGTAATGGACATTAAACTGTTATTAAGACGCTCGTGCGTAGCCCCCTAAGTCTAGGTTAACACCAGTATCGAGTATCGATTAAGCGTAGATGAAACTTAACTTGAAACGTTGTCATGAAATACAATACAATAACGATACCAACACACAATACTCCCGAGATCGATTCAGTCATTGCTAGTGCCATGTCCCAGGGGATTCTCCCCATAGATTTTGGCCATAACCATCAATCCATCCATCCATACGTCATTCCGTCCAGCTTTGCAGTATACGAAAATTTCAAAATTTACCTTAAGCGTTTTGTGAGTTTGGCCTTGACTTTCCGTTAGCTTCCTGATACCCTGACCTCGTATCTTTCTCTCTCTCTCTCTTTCTCTGTCTCTCTCTCTGTTCGTCTATGAATGATCTTTCCAGCAGGTGGGGCCAGGCTGGTGGAAGAGGACAAGTGGAAGTCCTCGCCAGGACACATGAGTGCTGCCATGACTAAAATGAAGTTCTACAACAACACGGCAGCTGCAGGTAACTCACGAGCTACTCGCTCCCCCTTGATCGCACCTGAAACCGAGTTGATCGCGTGCTCCCAATTAACATTTTAACGTTAGTATTTTGTCTCTGCTTCTGTTACTCCGTGCATGTGTTCAAAACCAACAGCCGGCACTGAAGCTGCAGCTCCATCCGAAATCGAAACCGAACCAGAACCAGAACCCGAACAAGAACCCGAAACCGAATCCAATCCCACACCTGATCCTCAATCCCAATCCCACGATGAGTCAGATGATGACGGCAGCAGCACGAGCAGCAGCAAAACCGGATGCACAGTCTACCAACGGGAGATCGCATCCAAAGAGACCCAGCCAGATACCCAAACCGAACAGACCAGTGACGTTGCTGCCACACTAACTACCCAAGTATCCAACTATCCCACAATCGACACACTAACTCCAGCAACTTCTTCCGAAGATATATTCTATAGTCCAATTGGTTTGTCCCTAGAAATTTCTCAAATTCACAAATTTTGTCCTTTATATATGTATATGTCTATGTATGTATATAATCATATTGACTGTAAATATTGTTGCCGTTTCAGGATCACCCACCTTATTTAATACTAGCCTAGGAACTCAGGCTCTGCTGAAGAGTGCCAGCATTCAATCTGTCTTGGGTAAGGCGTAGGCGTATCTTTTGCCTATCCCCTGACTAATCTGTTGCTCTGATCAGAACACTCCACTCCCACCTTTCAACTGGAAGATGCACCCTCTGAGCCATCCTCCCATCAGCCAGAATCCGAGATAGCCGCATCGCAGCAGAAGCTGCCACATCAGCAAGAACATCAACAGCAGCAGCAACAGCAGCAGCAGCAGCGACAGAACAACTTTACCCACCAACGCTATCGCGGACGTAACCGACGCTAGGCGATGATGCATTCTAGCTACCTATATACTTTTCCTTACTTTTTTATATTCCCATATTGTTAGTGAATACTGCGAGTAAATCTATGAACTCAATCGACTCAGTCTGTACTTGAGCATAGGCAAAATATCACAAGGATTAGCAAACACCTTCGACCGGCTCGAGCTTGAAGCGGATGTCGCCGCAGGGCGACAGGATGATGGTGCTCTCGTACTGAAGGGGAGTGTCGGGCAGCCAGCTGACTTGGTAGCGACGCAGCAGACGCACCAGAAGAGTCTCTATCTCCAGCTCGGCGATGCGCTTGCCGATGCAGGTGCGCGGTCCAAAACCGAAGGGCAGGTACACAAACGGATTGCGGGTTCGAGCCTCTGGACAGGCCAGGACATCGCCAGCCATGTCTGATTTGAGCCAACGCTCGGGCATGAATTCGGCACTCTGGGCAAAATACTCATCGCTGTTGGATAGCTCCAGGACGCCCATTAGAACGCCCGTGCCCCGGGGCACCTGGTAGCCAGAGAGCACCAAATCTTTGGTTGTGATGCGAAAGTTGCCAGGCGTTATTGACGTGATGCGTAGCCCCTCCTTGATGCAGGCCCGCAGATAAGGCATGTTCTTGGTGCTCTCGTCGGTCAGCGAGTCCTTGGAATCGGGCAGGATGCGGAGCAGTTCTCGGCGCAGCTGCGCTTGTTTTGACGGATTGCACGCCAAGTGATAGAGAATCGTGACAAAGGCGGAGGAGGTCTGGAATGATTCGAGCTTTGCCATTAAGAAATCTTTAAAGAGAATATCATTCCAACCAACCGTATCGATACCGGCCATCAGCATGTCCATGACCATCACTACGGCCACCTGCTTGTTGAGTAACAACAACTGCTCCAAGACGCATTTGGTCTTGCGGCCGTCGTCGATCTCAAAGCGTTGAATGGCCTCTTCGATGTAGTTGGTGGTGATCTCTGTGATGTCGTCGTAAGTCTTGAGGAACCGCCTGAAGCCCCGCGTCTTGTAGTAGGGCCAGATCGAGGGTTGCACATCGTACTGGAAGCTGTAGTTGAAGAAGTCGCTCATATGCTCGGCCAGGCGAGCGGCATTCGGATCTGGATGATCGCTGAGCAGTCCCATGCGCGTGTTTAAGGCCACAAAACTGATGGACTCAAAGGCCCAGTTCTTTAGCTGATCATGAAAGTCAGTCTGGAGCAAGTGGGTTTCCGGATCTCTCTGGCTTTCCAGTCTGCAAAGTGTACAACTACGTATGAAAGATTCTTATGATTTTCTCGGATTCTATTCGTACTTTTCGATGAACTCCCGCGCTATCTGATCCAGCTGCGGCAGATTCTGTCGGACGTTCTGCACCTTCATGAGCACAGGGTTCACCTTGTTACGGATGTCTGCCCAGGCCTTGCCCTGTCTTAAAATGGATAAGAGGAAGAAGAAAAGTGATACTCAAGTCTACTGGACTTCATGCTGAAGACTCACTCAGACACAAGGCCACCAATGCCACCAAAGACATCCGGTCGCTTCACTTTGCGGTAGTAGCTGAAGCTCTCCAGGCCGATGCGTATGGGCCAAACGCCCTCGTTGCGGTATGTCAACTCAAAGTCCTCTGGATTATACGTGAAGACAACATCTGCTTTGCCCATCAGGCCTGGCAGGCGATAGATATCCCCGTACATCTCTCTCAGGCGACGGTTCATCTGAATGAGGTTTGTGTTGTGCAGTTTGCCTGGTGGAGAATAATCACTTACAAGGGTTAGGGAATAAATGAAATATTCTGAGTCTTACCTCCTGGCAAAAAGTAGGATAGCATGCGCCAGCCATTGGGTCCAGGTAATTCCCCATAGGCCCTCGCCTGCTGCCATCTCTCATCGGTGCGTGGCGGCGACGTATCTAGCAGTTCCAAGTGGGTCTGTTCATAAGAAAATCTTTCTTCAGTGTTTGTAAACAATTAACGCTCTCTGAAAGCTCGCCAAACTTTCGCTCTTGTTCTTTATTTATCTATCTTTCTCGCTCGCCCACTCACTCACCTGCTGACCAAGTGTCCCACCCAGTGACAGGTTCCTGGCCTTAAACAGCTGATGGGCTAAACTTTGGCGCCGGACTGTTTTCATGCTAGTTTTCCACATCATTAAACGAATGCAACTAGTTTATAATATTTAGAGTCCAATTATAACAGGAGATAGCTGCATCGGGGTGCAACCGTTGACAAGCAAGCAAAAATTGAAACTGAATCACAGGCCAAACGACAAGCATTACATTAGACTTCAATTGAGCTTTCGCTCTGTCAATTTGTTTGCGGGCCAGTGAAAGCTTTTCATACCCAATAACCGTAAAGCTGGCGGGTATATCCGTTCGAAGAATGAAAAGCGTTATGGTAAGCCCATAGCTTGATTAAAATTCTGCCCGAGCCCTACACTATGGCGTCAAATGTATTTTCTTGTAGCCATTGTAGATGTATATTACATGAATTCTCGTAAGCTTGTCATGTCAAATGTAGTATACCAAAATCTACCTTTGCTGTTACATGTAATGTGAGAAATTGTCAGGCTAAAAATCCGACGGAAGTTTTAAGTTGTTTTGTTTCGACAGACGATCCCTGAAACCATTAACTATAAGAATCTTTGAAAGTCTTCCATTCTGTTTGAATTACATTTATTTATTGCATGCGGTAAAATGTTCCATAGCTTAAAATGTGGTTTGTTGGTTTTCTTACAATTTTGTTGAATTTATTTACGGTCTTGGTTGTTTTCATTTCGGAGATTCTATTTTTTTTTTGTTTTTTTTTTTTAATACTTTTTGTATTTATGTACATTGAAAATTTTGAATAAGTTGCAAAGAGTTGAGTTATAGTTAGAGTTAAAGTTAAAGAAATATAGTTGATTTTTAAGGTACATTATAGTTTTTGAGTTTTGCACGTTCAATTTAAGTAGACAATACATCAATAATATCAAGATATGTATCAATATCAATGGAGGATCTAGAGTTGAGTTAAACTTTTGATATGTATTTGGTATGCAATTGGCGTAGTTCAAGTTTAAGTTCGAGGACAAAATGCAACTACAAATCGCTCTTTAGTTATACTTGTATTTACGATATATATATATATATATATATATATATATATATAATTTTACTCTAATTAATATACTTTGAAAATGGAAATGGTTGAGATTTCCATTCTGTTTTCTGGTTAAGGTTTTCTTCATATGCGTTTCTTCTCTGTATAAAAATATAAACAAATTAGAAATGTTCGTTGTCTTTGCTGTAATATTTGGTTTTGCTTGGTTTGGTTTTTCAGAATCGAGTGTAAATAATTCGTAACAAACAAATATGAGTAAAACATTATGCGGAGGACCTTCAGTCTTGCTTTGAATTGATATTGCTTGGTTAGTTTCATTCCCTTCGTGGTTCCTTTGTCATTGAGAGATCAGCATGTGGTGGAGGGAGTAGGGGGTACATTTACATATCGTATTTAAGGAAATGTCTGTAAAAACAAGGCTTATACATCTCATAGTCTATTTCCTGTTTAGTACTGCTATTAAGCGCTAGTCGAGTTCTGTGCTGAAGATCCCTTAACACTGGTACACCAAACCAAAGGGGGGAGGTAAGGTACCTCTATTCATATGTCATATATCTGGGTAATAAAAGGAAATTGGATTACCATGTAGAGTGTTATCCTAATTAGTTCACATTGAGTTTGATATGCATACGAAATGTTTAAACATTAGCTAAACCGCTGATATGTATGTGTATAGTATAGGGTTATCTATAGGTAGAGTTCGCTCTTTAGGAATACAAAATAATCTGATCTGGCTAAAAATGCATTAAAAAACTATCCGTAATAAACTTACGCACTATGTGGGTGCAGTTTACTCATCTATAAAGATTTCTCTTTCTATTCTTGTTTTTTTTTTTTTATCTTCTTTGGTTTAGGTTTTAGGCAGTGCATCTTTAATCTAGGTTAAGGACATATGTATGTATGTATGTATGTATTTTGCTAAAAGTTTGTCTAAGACGATTCCATGACACATCGCGCGCTAAAAACTAGATCAAAATCAAAATCATTTACAATCAATTTAATGCCTACAACTTACAAGCTACGATATGTTTGTATATAATAATAATATATCTGTATATTGTATATGTATAAATATTTCTTGTGTATATTTGCGCTGACTGATTGCAGCTGATATGTTTCGATTTCATGGTTGGTTTAGCTACCGATATGTAACATGGCATAGAAATGGCAATAGTTCAATTATGTATATATGCATATGTGCAGCACCGCTGATATGCTGGTATGCTGTATGAATGTATATGTTTTACTCTGTATAGATATATAGATGATATGTTTAGTTTTGTGGTTGTTTCCATATGCACACATTTAATTCAGCCGACTGTTAGTCTAAATACATTTTTAATTTCCTCAAAGTGGCTCTTGCCACCTCACCTCATATCTTAATTTCCATCTCTCTTTATCTCACTCTCTCTCTCTCTCTCTTTCTTTCTATCTCTTTCGGTTGCAATCATTTTCAATTTGCTCTATGCTTATATGCTATAAAATCACATTTAGTTGCTTAATTAATTTTTATGCTCTCAGACACTTGTACACACACTCGCCACACACTCATATGATTGTGAAAGAGAGAGAGAGAGGAGAGGGAGAGACGTACACACATAAACGGACGTACAAAACGGGTAACCTTCGAACATCATGTAGATATTGCTTTTATTTCGCTATATATAGATGCTATATAATCTATATATGTACATATGTATGTATATGGGCTTCAGATATGTATGTGCTTCTCTGTGGGCCAGACCATATACGAGAACGGGGGTACTGGTACCATTCACATTTTCATGGCCTGCTGCACATCGAAATGCGTACGGTACACTATATTTTCCCTGTTTTTTTTTCCCCCGTTCTTGTTCTTTTTCTCATTTCCTTTCTCTAGTGCGAAGGCGAATTTGCATGCGTTGGGGTCGATGTGTGGGACAGGGCGGAATTGAAACTGGTGGGTTGCGGGAAATGGGAATGCAATTTTTCAATACGCGCGCATAATTGAACTGTCAGAGCTGGGTGGCTGGCTGACTGGCTGACTGGCTGGATGCCCAGGCCCGGCAATGGTAGACCTGGGAACTCGTACCCGGCCAAGCTGAAATATTTCGCGAAACTCCATGAAAATATACAACGTGTAAACTGTGCCATGCATTTCCTCCTTTTTTCATGCTGCCGCTGCCGCTTCTGCTGCCTGTAATTAAAATTGCTGCACCAGGTGTACATAGGATTGACCACTGGATGGCAGATTTATCTGCTGGGATGGCATGGCGACGATGCACTTCGCACTGCACACAAAGGTAGAGTAGAGTGCCCCACAGTCCATGTTTCTCAGCTGTGATGCGCCTTCAGCGCCTACTCCTCGGGCCAGCCGAGATCCTCGCCCACCAGCTCGTAGAAGCGTTGGTTGTATTCGGCAAAGAATCTGCGCAGCCTGGAGACGACCACGGGATCCACATGCGGATGCTTTCGGCCCTTGGTCTCGCGCAGGCAGCGGTCTCCATTGTCGTAGCGCAGGCAGTAGAATCCCTTGGTCTCGTTAAAGTAGAAGTGTTCGCTCTTCACACGATGCTCGATGCCTGGCAAATACATTGAATTCCATTGAATTGCATTCCAATAGAATTCCACGGAATGTGAGAGGATTACTCACCTAAGAACGCCTCGATGCGCCTCAGCTGGGAGACTGGATCCTCGATGAGCCGGTCCCCGTTCACCACCAGCAGCTGTTCGCGCGGAAAGACCTCCAGCCAGCGGTGCAGATGGACATGGTACATGGATATGCTGAGCGGTCGATAAGCCTCGTTAACGGTGCCATTGGGAAATATGGCCAGCTCCTCAAAGGACCTGCAAGATGGGTAAGCAGGGAGAGGGGAAGAGGGGGCTTTAAACTTTTCTCACGGACAAACCGAAAAAGAAGGATGGCAAATTGAATCGCCAACAGCTGCAAATGAGCAGCCCCCTGCCTCGGTCCACAGTCCACAGTCCTTTTTGCCAGTTAAACAGAGTCCTGCTCCGCCATTGCCCCTCTCTCTTTTCGTCTCTTTGCACAAGAAGCAACTTTCCACTGCAGAGCGACAGGGATGGGGTGAGCCAAGCGCAAGAGTCGTCGCATTTTGGGGCAACTTTCATTTGCAGTTTGCATTTGAATTGCATGCCAAGCAGCCCCGAGATGGGTGCAAGGATGGCACTGGCTGTGGGAATGCGTCTCAGACTGAAACTGGGTTTCATTTCACTTACTTGGCTGCCATTTGAGCGGCACTTGCCATCGGCGATGGTGTTGTCGTGGTCATCGTTCCGCCAGTTCCCGCTCCAGCTCCTGCTGCTGCCTGCCGCCTGCCCGCGACGCTTAACTTTGTCTTTGTCTCTTTGGCGCCCGCCCCGCTGCCACCGACCAGGGCATTGTCATAGCCATGGGCCGCCTGCAGCTTGGCATACAGCAGCGACTGTGATGGCATCTTGGGAGGAGGCTGGGCGGCAGCCGCGAAGGCGCCACTGCCGGAGCTCTCGCGCTCGGCCAGCGGCAGGATGGCAGTGGCCGCATGGCTGCGCAGCTGTGTGTAGTCCGAGATGGCCCTGGTCACTGGCTCGCGGACAATCAGCAGCAGCTTGATGCTCGCGTTCATGGCCCGCACACGCTCCGGCACCTGCAATTTCGACATTAATGAATTTAGAGGAACTGCCCAATGGAGGGAACTAATTAAAAGGGAGATTGTCTCTCCCTGGGGTCGCCCTACGTAGCGAAAAAAACATTTCTGACCCAATTAAAGAGCATCAGAATGTTAGCTGCCCGTCTATCCCTCTGTCTAACTTTTGCCAAAATATTCTCACAGCCTAAAAGGTTATTTAAATGAAGGCCACCCTTTACTCAATAGCATACAACCGTAGCCGGCCGCAACGTAACGATGGATCTTTGCGGTCGATACGTCTCCTCAATGGGTACTTTATTTTGCTGCATAGTGTAGCAGGCTGCCGTCCTGGCAGGCGCACCCCTGCTGCTGCACTTCCGCAACCAGTGTGCTGTGAACAATTTAATTAAGCTGAAAAATATTGCCCTACAATGAAAGGCAGGGGAGGCAGGCAGGCAGGCAGGCAAAGAGGCATGCCCCAACGACAGCACAGGCCCAGGCCCAGGCCGTCACCCTCCCTTAAAGTCCTTGAATCTGGCACGTTGAACGTTGAGTATAAATAGGCTCCAAAATGGGCGAAACGAGCCGAGTAAATAAACTTAATCAATTTCAATACAAGCCACCGCCAATGGGGGGCACAGGCATCCCAGGCCGTGCAACAAGTTCCAAAGTTGTTGTCGTTCTTTCAGAATTATTCACGTTGATGAACCATTTACCGTGTCCTCTGGTGGGAATTTCGTATTCCCTTTTAATCTTTAATGCGGGCAAAATGCATTTGAAGCGGCCCACAAATGAAAAGCGCACGAAAACTGTCATACGGAAATGCGTGCGCTGCAGCACCTGGGGGAGAAAACAGATCCTGAGCCTGAGGCCAAAGTACGCCCCGGGGAAATAGATTATTTATGGCAGGGGAGGCAAGGGATGCGGCAGGGAGATATCCACCGTCGAGAAGCGGAAGCTAATTTGACGTTTTCCGCAGAGTTTTCAAGGGGAGAAGAGCATTAGTTGACGTGCCCCAGATGCATCCGCTCTCAATAAATATTAATAAGAGCATTAATGAAGATTTATCCAACGCACTCTCTCCACTTTGGCACTGACGACGTGCAACCTGCTGCTGCTCCTGCTGCTGCTGCATAACAAATTGAAATGGTGCATCAACCGACGAAGAGACACTCGCACACTGACGCACGCACACGGCAGTAAAAAAGGAAAATTGAAACGGAACTCTGGATAAAATATTGCCCTGCCAGTGCCAGTGCCAGGGACACCGACACCGACACCACCCCCATCCACCGCTGGAGTGCTCTCTGCAAGTGACACATGCAAGTTCCGGCTCGTAGCGAAATTGCATCAGGCAAACCCAATTTTGTGACACTCTGCGGGCACAGCAGCAGCAGCAGCAGCACCAGCAACAGCAGCGGAAACATCGGAAGCAGAAACAACAAAAACTATAATAAAAGTTGGCCAAAGAGCGATTCCACTTGGGCGTTAGACGGAGCCGTTTGCCAAATGAATTTCCGCTCAGGGGGGCCCCCGACATGGCCACGGAAATTGGCTGGAACATGGTCGAGCGTTTCATTTTAATTTGATAGATGGATGGACAGACAGACGCCCATCGTAGAGGAAGAGCAGCGCCAGGAAAAGGCGACGGGTCAATGCTGGCAGGCAGTTAATTAATAATTACGGTAGGATGACAGTTAGGCCCAGGTCCAATGCAGCACACACCTAATTGGCAATTAGAGATCAAAGGGAATCCCTTGGAAAAAGGGAAAGCCCGCACCCACAGACAGGGCAGAGCACTCACCTCTGGCGACACAAAGTAGCTGGGACTCTTCTCGATGGTTATCTGGCCGCGGAAGGAGTGCGGCATCTTCTTGCGATACCATTCCAGGCCCTTCAGGTAGTTCTCGTCCCGATCGAAAAAGTGCACCTCGCCGCCGGCCTTCTGGATGCGCGGATGCAGATACAGCATCTCCAGCAGGGCCCTCGTTCCGCACTTTCGTACACCAATTATAAGGGCCTGGGTCCAGTCGGAAGCGAAAGGGGAAATCAAATGAAATGCACATGAAAATCCAAATTCCATTGGCAGCAATTAGTACGAGACACACACACACGGGTGGGTAGAGGTCTGGGACTCACCTGCGGCAGACGACGACTGGTTTTGGGGAAGTGCACACGACTGGAGGGAAAGACCATGGGATGGCTAAGCTGGTTCGCGTTGGGCACTGGCTTCACAAACGCAGGCAAATGGTTGGATGACGCGGAGAAGGTGGAGGAGGAGAAGGAGGAGCCACTGGCAGCTGAAGATCCGGATAGGGCTGATGCGGAGGCGGAGGCTGCCAGCGAGAGGCGATGCCTTTCGTGAACAGCCTGGGCCGCTTGGATGTTGTACACGGCACTGTCGTAGAGCACGTGGAAGGTGAGGAACAGTGAGATCAGCATGACCGTGAGGAAGACGACGGCCAGCTTTGGACGGGAGACGCCCACCACCAGGATGCAGTCCGTGTGCGAGGCGTCAGGACCCACCGGACGCATCGCCGATTTCGGTAGCCATCTGTAAGTGGAAAGTAAATGAGTTTGGATTTAGTTTTCCATCAAGGCAAGTGCTTCCAAGCAGTAACCCTATCGCTATCCGCGTACTCTGTGTCGCCTGGTAATTAGATTGCCATTCCAACGCTGCTGAGTAATTAACGTTGGGGCACAGCTAACACGAAACCCCCTCTACCTGATCCCCGCCCCTTTTGGCGTTGCGAAATTAGCAAGACGACACTTTGCCGTGTTCTGGCACTCGTCCCCAGCCCCAGCCCCGGCCCCGGCCCCAGTCCCATTCACGTTCTCGTGCACGTCCGGCAGCGCTTAAGCGAATTCCATTATAAACGTTTCCGCTTAGACCGCAACAAACACTGGCAGCATTATTATGAGCAGCATACTGCCGACACATCTGGCAGCAGGAGTAGCAGCAGCAGCAAAAGCAGGCGGAGCAGGTGAGGAGAAGAGGCCACGGAGCAGGAGCGGAGCTATCCTGTGCCACAGGCAGCACTAGGCGTATACATAACGTTTGCCTAATGGATGACTTCATTTGCAGCATGCCGCAGCTGTGCAGCAGAGCCAGAAGGCAGCGTGCAGGGGCATTAGCAGGTGACAGAAGGAGCTGCTGCTGCTGCTGCTGGTGTATCTGGTGCCGTCAGTCTGCAGCTAAGTGCATTTTTATATACAAAGGAGGGAGGTGTGGTGGCGGGGGGTAGTGAAGAGCAATGGATAGGAAAGGCTAGAATATGTGTGGCAACAGGCAGTTTCCTCACCAGGACCCTTCCACACCCCACACCACGCCCCTCTATCACCACTTGTTCGAGTTTCGCATGCGACACCTCGTTAAAAGTAACGACACACTGTGCCACAGGCCCGCAAGGAGTCGTGGCGAGGCGAGTCGAGTCGAGTCGAGTCACTTCACTCGACGGCACCGTTTGTGGCGCACGTTGCAACCTCAAAGCGGGACCAACTGACTTCTGCCACAGCTCTCCTCCCCACCATACACTCGCTGTGCCCATTTGACGTCAGACCACCCCACTTGCTTCCTCTCGGCGCCTTGTCGACATGCTTTAAGTCCGCCATTTCTTTATGCCCTGTTGTTTTTTCTCCGTTCGAAGGAAGCAGCAGCAGGAGCAGCAGTATAAGAAGTAAAGGGTGGCAGCAGCAATGGCAGCTGCAGTAACAAGCAGCAGTCGTCTGGGGCTGCGACTGGCCTCGTTTCACGCCCCATAGGGCTTCGGCCGCCTGCCACTTGACTGCGATCTGCATAAACGCAGCACCGCCCCGGCCGCCCTCTTTCGGCTGCAGCTGCTGCCAGCCACTGCTGTCACACTCTTTCTTTGGTGGAGGGGTGTTGTGGCAGGCTTTAAGCTTAAGCGTTAAGCTTTAAAGGCAACGCCGGGCCGGCTCTGTTCCCCCTAATCCTGACAAAACTGGCAAAAGTCTCCTTTCTTTCCTTCCTGTGTTAAGCGCTTTGCTTGCTCTCCATTTGTCCCTCTTTCACTGGGGATTTAACCTTCCCTGCCGACATTCCCTCTTAAGTTCTTTGAGCAAATATTTATAATATTCTGATTCATTTTTTTTTCTTTGGGGAAGCTTCAAAAGCATGAAAATCGAATCGAGCAAATGTTGTCCCGTTAAAGTTAATGCAATTTTCATTTGGCGTTGTTAAAATGTAAATTTTATTAAACCATCCAGACGTGCCACAGAGGCCATCCACCATTCCTCAACGCCGCATGCCCCCATGGGAGAGGGACAGTTTGACCTTTTTGTTTTTTTGTGTGTTTCCTCTCCTTATCGGAAAAAAACCGAATTGAACCCTAGCCTCCGCGCCAAAAGGGAGCCTCCCTAAATGATTTGTTGGCCCTACTCGTACTCACAGGATATCCAGCGGCAATTTGACGGAGCAATCGCGCAGTGTCGCCTGGTGAGGATTTGTGTGCTGATGAGGATGCTGCTGCTGTGGATGTGAGTGTGCTGCTGCTGCTGCTGTTGATGCTGTCTCTGGTGGTATTGCTGTGGGTGGTTGCCACCTCCGACGCCGTAGTGCTGATGGTGGTGGTGGTGGTGGGGATGCTGCAGCAACTGCTGATACTCGTGGTGTCCCTGCGCCTGCGGGTCCCCATCCTGTCTGGGCAGATGCTGTGGCTGCTGCTGCTGCTGCTGAAGGGATTGCTGCTCGTTGCTGCTGCTGCCCGCACGTCTTTTGGCCGCAGTCATCAGTGAGGCAGCGGTGTACCGGCGAGTACGTTCAATGGAGCCCAAATGATAGCCGCTCTTGGCTGTTGCAGCAACTAATTGGCCAGTGCTGGTGCTCCACTCAATTGCAGCGGACAGGCAGCATGCAGCATGGATGGGGGCATGGATTTATGGGCCACCCACCGCCACGCCCACTGGGCAATCGCCCTACTTTGACTCTTTTTCTCGGACTCCCTGCTGTAGCTCGTGTTCTGGCTTTTATGCGCTTTAATTAAATTCCAGCAGATTGCTGAAGAATTTGTAATCGGAGTTTCGCCTGTTACTCGCTCACCGATGCGAGCGATTGACCAGCAGCAGTGGGCAGTGACTGGGCGACATAGAGCGCCTCATTTCCGTCAGGACACACAAAAGGGAGCGTTCGCGTTCACATCACCATCACCACCACCAGTAAAATCATCATCATCATCAACAACATGAACATCCCTTGGACAACATTCCAGTTTGACCTTTTTGTTGTTCCGTAATTAGATTTGTTGCTGCTGCTGTCGTCCTTCGTTTCTGCCTCCAACTTTGGTGTTTGTTCTGTAAAGGCAGCTGCAGCAGAAGTTTCTCTTGGCTCTGGCTGTGCTTTTGTATCTGTTATTGCCTGTAAGGTTGTTGCTTTTGTTGCTTGACGCCATTGTCTGGTGTTTGCTGTGGTTCCCAAAAGAAAGCGAAAGCCACGAGCCTCAAATCAGCTGCAAAGCAAAACAGAAGAGACATAGACGAGAAATTGATTATAAAAGACAAGGTTGTACGACGTAACAAAATCAATATGATTTGCATAAAATTCTAATTAGGAACCAATCGATTTAGCTCAACAATTTAGGGGCAGCGGCAGCCCACAGTCATCCATGGGCTGCGGATCATGGATCACGGCTTTGGGGAAACAAAATTAATCGTATGGATATTGAAAGTGAAACTCCGTTGGCAATACAAACTGCAGAATCAGCAAGGAAACAATTTCACTTTCAATATAATACATTAAATATACATAGGTATCAAAACTGGAAATTTAAAAACAAATCTCTGAACAAAATATTTGATTTAAATTAAGCATTCCCAAGTGTAGTGCGGAGGTACACACAATACTCTACTCTGGTGTAGAACAAACTGGAGCATAAAATACTTTAATCTAGGGACAACTTTTCTGCCAAGAAGTTCCCCCAAATTTAGTTGAATGCCCAATGTAAAAGCAGACCATCCGACCTGACCTAGGGATAAGGCAGGCAGACGCAAAACCCCCCCAAAGTGGAATTAGAATTTTCCAATTTGTAAGTCAAATCGAGAGAACGTGTGTGTTTGTCTGTCTTTCTGTATGTCTGTTTGGTTGTGCTATGCTCTGCCATGTTCAGTGCCTGAGAGTTGGTTTGAGTTGAGCTCAGTAGACAGGCGAACGGGGAATAAGTAATCAGCGCTCTTTAACTTGGTGTAGTGCCCCACTACCATTATGGATACTCGTACCATGCGCCTGCTCGAGTACATTGCGTGGCCTGCCTATGGGGTATAAAAAGCAGGGTTCGATAGTTGTGTATCCAGTACTCGGTGGGGTTTCGCCTTTCGTAAACAGCGGCACCATGAACTCCAGCACTATTTTGGATTATTTTCGGACACTGCCACCGGGTAAGCGGATGCGGCAGTGGCAGCAGCCCTTTCATCTCATACGCCCCGCCCATTCTCTGCAGATCCGGTGAAGTTGCCCTTGCTCAGCTCCCCGCTGCAGGTTCTGCTGATCGTGCTGGCATATCTGGCCATTGTCCTTAAGCTGGGCCGGGACTTCATGGCCAACAGGAAGCCGTACAATGTGCGGAGAGCGATGCTGGTGTACAACCTCTGCCAGATCCTGATGAACGCTGGGCTGTTCGGCACTGTAGGTTAATGGCCGGGGCCAGTTCTCAGACGTATCTAAAACCCTTCTAACCCATGAACTCTCTCAGGGCGTCTACTACATAATCGTCCGAAGAATCTACGATATGCGATGCATGAACATGCTGCCACTGGATCATCCAGAAAAGAGCAAGGAGCACCTGGTCGTCTACGCGTATTTCCTAAACAAGCTACTCGACATGGCCGACACCGTGTTCTTTTTGCTGCGCAAGAGCTACAAGCAGATCACCGTGCTCCATGTCTACCACCACGCCCTGATGGTCCAGGGTCCGCCCCTTGTCAGCTACTTCTTCGGGATGGGGGGCCAGTACACCATGATGGGCTTCCTCAATTCCTTCGTCCATGTCGTCATGTACACCTACTACTTTGTGGCGGCCCTGTATCCGGAGATCAAGGGCAAGTTGTGGTGGAAGCAGTACATCACCAAGCTGCAGCTGGTGCAGTTCGTCCTCCTGTTCCTGCAGGCTATGCTGGTGCTGTGCCTGAATCCGGCATGCACCTTCCCACGCGGCCTGCAGTACTTGCAGCTGGCGGTCTCCACCTCAATGATGGTCATGTTCGGCAACTTCTACTACCACACCTACATCAAAGCCAAGACCAAACAGCAATAATCACCAATAAAGTTCACTACACTACACTAGATCCATTCCATGCTATTTTGCATCTGCTTTAGTCTAGTTTTGGTTTTAGTTGAAGTTCTTGTTCTTGTTTGGGTTCCCCAGCTGTATTCCCTCTTTGGGTAGCTGGTTCTCTCACTCTCTGCTTCTCTCTCCAAAACTCTCACTCTCACTGCCGCTCTTTGTCGCTCTGAAATGTAGGACAGAGAGCGCAGTTCAAAGATTTGAATAATACATTATTTGATTCGATTAACTTTACAAATTCAGAACCGAATGCCTTTCAGTGGCTTTGAAACAGTCACCAGTCGCCATTCGGCCGACAATCAACGATAGCGATGACGCTCGGTATTTTCGATATACCTCAAGGAGGTGAGAGATCTTTTGTGTGCTAGATTCACTCACTAATCGCCGCTTGGGCACCAATCCACAGATCCAAATCCCATCCTCCTGGCCGGTTCGCCATGGCCAATGATCATCATTCTGGCGTTCTACCTGCTCTTTGTCCTCAAGCTGGGAAAGATATACATGAGGAACCGGAAACCGTACGATCTGAAGCGGTTGCTGATGTTCTACAATCTCGGCCAGGTGGTCTACAACGGCCTCTACTTCGGAGTTGTGAGTAGCGTCTGACATGGGTCTCGCATCAGCGTATTGATCTGACTTTCTGCTTGGCTTAGGTCTTCTACTACCTGTTCATCGAGGGAATCTGCAACCTGCGCTGCATGGAGAGCTTCCCGCCCGGCCATAAGCACCGGCAGCTGGTGCGGGTGGTGCACACCGCTTACCTTATGAACAAGGTGGTGGATCTGCTGGACACCGTGTTCTTTGTGCTGCGAAAGAGCTACAAGCAGGTCAGCTTCCTACACATCTACCACCACGTTTTCATGGCCTTCGGCGGCTATGTGGTGACCCGCATCTACGGCACCGGCGGACACTTCAACTCCGTCGGTCTGCTCAACACGTTCGTGCACACGGTCATGTACTTCTACTACTTCCTGTCCTCGCAGTATCCCGGCGTGAAGGGCAGCATCTGGTGGAAGAAGTATATCACGCTGACGCAGCTTGTCCAGTTTGTGCTGCTCTTCAGCTACTCCTTCTACGTGCGCTTCTTCTCCCCGAACTGTGCCGTTCCGCACAGCCAGCTCTATGTGACCATGTTCCAGGGCATCGTCTTCATGTATCTGTTCGGCAAGTTCTATATCCAAGCATATGTGCGGCCTCCTCCTGTCCAGTCCCAGCCCCAGTCCCAGTCCCAGTCCAGCCCCGAGTCCATGCAGAAGCAGAAGCAGAAGCGGTTGTAACCAGCGCAATGTTTACTCGAATACACCCTGTTCATTATAGCAATATATGCGCATACCGATCAGACCATTCGATGAGCATGCAACTGGCAGCTGGCAACGACCCCAAGTAGGCTTTAATTTCTGGACTTTCGACACTTTTGCAGAATAAATAAAAATAATGCTAATGGAAAATACCATATGCTATCATCCCACTATTGAATCAATCTTTTCCCCGGAACAAACTCGTCTAATGGCATCATAGTCGGTGATCAAATTCCCTTTCCCTGCGACAGAGGAGTCAAGCCAATATTGGCACTAAATATTTGTACTATTTTCGATTCAGAATGGGAATATAGCGCACGTGTGGCAGCCGATTAGATGCCACTCATTCATATGCATGAGGCTGCCACTTGAATGTCTTGTAATTGCTGGCATACAATGAAGCGGATCCAGTGAGGTGCTTGAACTAGATGCAGGAACACCTTCGGCCTCAGGCGCTTCCCTGAGCAATTGTGTTAATTTGCCGGCGTTTAATTCAACAAAAACCTCATTCTTGGAAAATTATCTTAGGTAAAATTTCGTACATTGCATTCGTTTCCGTTTCCCTGGGTTCAATCTTATGAAGATCTTCCACAATGGAGTCCCTTTGAATTGTTTCAACATATGTATTTCCATATATAATTAAATTTAAATCTTGGTAAGTCGTTCTACATGTCTCTCCCGATGTTGAACTAGAAATGATCAGATATGTCTTGTCGAATTCCAGCTAAGACTCAAAGCTTCAGCTCCAGCTTCAGAGTGGATTGGGGTTTCACGGAAAGTATTTGTACAGATGTATTGTACATTTAACGAGCATATATACATATGTATGTACAATATATACCCAATGCTCATCAACTTTGAAAAGACAAAGATGCGAACGGTTATCCGGTGAGTGCACCGTAAAGCAGTGCCGTTTAAGCATCGACAGAGTGGAAAACTGGATGCCGGAAAAACAACTTGGGGCAATCAGCCATACTCCTTGCCTTTGCACGCATCTACACCCGCCCAACCCGACACCCTGCGCCAGCCTGGTGAACCTGGTGAATGTTGCTTTTGCTCGTTTGTTAGCACGTTGGAAAAGCTTCACTTGATAAGCATAAGAAATGCAGGCAAGAACAGGAAACTAGCTCGCTGCAACAGTGTGCCTGTGTCGGTGTGCTTGTGCAACGACTGGCTGCACATAACAAGGTTCTAACGTATCGTGTCCCAGTACCATCCTTTCGGTTTCATATGCCCCATCCCCTTAGCGATGGTGGCGCCATAACTGTAGCTTAAGTCCGTGTGGCACGAGTTAAACTTAAGACGGAAATTTTCCGCGCACATACATATGTATGTGTGTATCTATCTATGGTGTGTCCCCAGTCCGATGTATCCATCCCACATAAGACCCTCTGTGTGGCATCCAAGATTCACTTGTAGCAACTGCATTTACTGCCTGGGAAAAACGAAAACAATTGCCGCAAATATGGCAAGTGGCAATTGAAAAACAAAAGTCTCTGGCTGGATACACGAGATGCTGGACCAAAAATCCGTTTGCTGGCTGCTTTCACACTTTCACAACGATGCCAGAGAAACAGCAGAAGCCCCAGCACAAAAGGCCACTGAGGACAAGGCCAGGGCAGGAAAAACACTGGTAAAGAAAACGAAAATGGTGCCAAAACCCAACGGGAAGGAGAAAATGCAGCAGCAGTAAAATGAAAAAAAAAAACAACGCACAAAATTGGCTGGGAAATGAACGAGACGACGCGTCGTCTCCCTTTTGTGCTTTTTTTACAAGGGAGAAATTACGGGGGACGGCAGCCGATGACTTGGCCTGGCTATGTCACAGGCAGGTCTGAGACCGACAAAGTCAAATGCAAATCACGCCCGAGACCCTCAAGTGGACAAAGACTGAATAAAGAAAAGGTAAGGGTGACAGAAGGTTGGTAATTCGCTCAGTTAATCCTATGACAGACACAGATGTGCGAAACAATTTCCAATTAATTGCACATACAAATGATCCATGACAGCACATTAATTGATCCAAAGCCCTAAACATACGTTCTGTCATCTCTAAACATGTATATAAATTGTGTTTAATTAGAACTGGTCTTCAATTCCGACTCAGTGAGCAAACGTAAAGCAAATGATACATGCGGACACTAGAGATATCAGAAATTATATGGCAAAAGGCCAAGGATTCAAGGAATAGTGGCATACATAACAAAAACAGACAGGGACTGGCTGCCTGGCAACTTTCCCATAATTTACACTTTATCGAACAATAACAAACAACCTGCATAATATATGGCTCCACACTGCTGCTCCCCAATGGCAGCAGCACCACCCGCAAAGGGATACCTGACTGAAGACGGTAGACTAAAGGGGACGGCAATGCTCTCCCACTGACTGGTGTTTTGAGGTTACCAGCAGCAGTGGTATCCTCCTGCAAGTACCATGAAAGCGCACACTCTTTCCCTTTCGCTCTCCCGCTCTCTCTTGTACGAGTATTATGCAAAATGTACGTCAATCAGAGCTGCCACAACTGCATTTAACATCATGTTGCACATCGAGACCAGAAGGCAATGTCAAATCCTGAGCACCTGTTAGCCCACAAATACATATTTGTTGTTTTGATCCCTGCGAAGCTTGCAGGCAATTTACATTTTAGATTTCACCTCAAAGGCCATTCCATCCATAAAAGAATCAAGCAAATGGCGTATCTATGGGATGTGGCATCTCTTCTTCGCTTCGGTCGTTTGGGGAATATGGCACAATAAAATTTTAATTCGTAACGATTGATGGTTGCCCCAAGAACCACCCACTGCCACAGGGCACCGTGCATTGCAACACGCATCAATGGATGCCCGGGGATGCTTTTGCTCTTGCACAGGCATCCATTCAATACATTAAATTTTATAGCCCAGCTAATTTGCATATGTAAGAGTATATACGTGTATATACCATACATAAGGATACGAGTATATACGATACGATACGATACAAAATGTGTGTTGTGTGCCACACATTGATTGGATTTATTTGACTTTCACTGAGGGTAGCCACAGAACACAGGGAAAATGGTAAGGTCGGTCGTGTGTGAGGGTGAGAGGCGAGTCTAAGTGCCTGACATTTGCTAAATGGCAAAAGCACACCGCCTACCAGCCACCTGGCACGTGGAACCTACCACCCCACACCCCACCCCGTCTCACTGCCGATTACATACTGACTGTTGTAGGGACACTCGTAATATTTTCACCCCATTTTGGGGCGAACCAAAAATTGCAGTCGCCTCGTTAGTACCTGAATGGCAAGTGTAATTACAGGCCCAACCATCAACCCATAACCTTAGTCGTTCCAATCGAATCGAATCTAATGACTATAACCTTTAAAGTTTGGCCTGCACTGACCTTGGCCGCAAACACACAGTTTTAAGGGGGCTCTATATAGGTTGGCAGTCGATTAATAATTTGTGGCTCTACAGTTCTGTTATGTGGCACTTTCTGTGGCAAGCAATCCCATTCTAAATCAATTTTCTGTTTAATATTTAGAGCTATAGGTAGTTTGATAAGCGTTAAGGATAGACAAGAGAAATGGCGGTCAATGTCATGAGTGGAGAATCAAACGCTCTGAGGACTGGAACACGCCACTGGCTAAATACCCAAAAGAGACATTGAAAGAATACAGTATGGCTCCATCTATAGTTCTGATTCTGCAGTTCGTGTTGATTTGGCATTCCCTTATCCCTTTCTAATACTTGTTCCAGCTGCAAGTCTCACTTCACTTTCAGTTTTAATCTATTTATATTTAAAGCCCAATTTAAAGTTGGTTTCGGTTTTCATGTTGAACAGTCATTAAACAACTGAACAACAACACTCACAAAATCCATGCTGTAAATTGCTTTCCTATAATGTGGCTATCCCCTTTCACACAATTCACACAATCTACTAAATTGATATGCATCTGCATTCGTTTCTGTATCCGTTACACTTGCCAATTGAAAATAAGCTGCAGTTCATTTAACTCTTGTACATTGTATATATTTAAATGTTGTATTGGATAAGCCGACATGAAATTAGAGTCATTCGAGGGCACCAACTGACTAAACAAACCCTTTGGCAGTTTGGCAGTATAAATGTTGGATAAATATTGACAGGCCATAAACAAACAATCAAAACAATCCGAGTGGAGCTGCAATACGTGCATAGTTAAAAGTATCCATTAAATGCCGGATTAAAGGCCATAGAAATCCACGATGAAGCTGAAGCCTTTGCCCCGCTGACTCTTAAAGTGAATCTTCGCATAGGTGGACTGCGGGCCGCCTTCCTGCAAATAGGCATAGCCGCCCTGCCCGTCGCGGATCTGGTCGGTGATCACGATTTGGGTAATGATTCTCGCCAGTTTCTGCTTTTAAAAGTAAGTTATAATTAATATCTGGTTAGATCCCATGACTGAGGGACAATCTTACATTCTGATTGAAGGTATAATCTCTTGTGACAACTCTCAGAAACGAGGACTTCATCGAGATGATCTCCCGCCGAATATGCGTGTCCCGGAAGGAGCGTGTACCCCAAGTGACACTATGGCTAGGACCACGGCCCGCCGCTTGGCAGAGAGCTGTCAGAGATATCAGCACGAGAAAGATGTAGACCCTCATTTGGAAAGTGAATGAGGAAATGATGAGCGGATTTGGGGCTTTTATAGGTGAAATCATAATGCTAAAAATATACCGCCATTGTCTCCAGACAGCTGTACAGGCGGTACAGAGAACAGACCCAATTTCAACCTTCTTCCTATTCAAAAGAATTGCACGAACCTTTTAATGCGAGTCTCGAACATTCCCCCCAACCGAACTGCTCACACTCTCCCATTCTCTCTGTAGAAATACTTTCTCAAAGACCACTCCATTCGAGAGAGAAGGCTTGAGACTTTTGTTTCGACATGGGTTTCGGTTTCAGTCGCCATTCCACTGGGTGTCTCTTCTTGCGGTTGGCTGCTTTAAATACCATTGGGGCTGCGTCGTGTGGGTGTCTGGTTACTCTCCTCTCCCGTCAATGTTAAGCTTTAAGGCAAATATTTATTTAATTTTAACATCCCACCCACAGTCGCCCTGTGCCCAGATCCAATTTGCTCAAGTACAAAGAACCGACTCGAGGAGAGACCCTGTCGCGTATATTGTTGAAATTTTATTGTGCAAACATGAGTAGCACAGTGTATGAGTGTGCGATTGTCTCTCTGTATGTGTGTGCGCGTCTATGTATATGTTTTATGGTTGCCACGTTGGTTTTTTCTGCACAAAAAAAACGCACACAGCAACAGCAGTGGAAATAGCAAAAACAAAATGGCCAAGGAACCGCACCATACCGTTGTTAAGTGCCTCTCTCCCCCAATCACTCTCTCATACGATATCTAGATGTATTTTTGTGTTTGTGTGCTTACCACAAAAAAATATACAAATAAAAAGACGATTCATTGGCAAACAAATCAGCAAAAATGTGAATTCGGGTGAACAATAAACTGCAGCTAGCTGTAGGCGGCAGGCAGCAGGTGGCAGGCAGCAAGGAAATAGAATCAGTAATAAATTTTTTTTTGTGGTATTTTCAAAGTTTTTTTAATAAAACATATCTGTACAAAATGGTTTGTATATGTATTCTCACTTCTGCCTCCAATCCTTTCACCATGCGAGTCCTTTAAGTCTGTAAATATTCATTCTGCTCTGACATGGTACGACATGTAAAATACAATACGTTTTTCTGAGTGAAGTTACATACGTATTCAATTTAATGGATATATTCTACGCTCTATCCATACTTACTACCCATCATCAAATATTTGTTTTGCCATAATGTTTTTTTAAGCTACCTAAATTTAAATAAGAAAATATCTTTAAACTCTTTTGTATAGCCGATATTCAAGCTTTGTTTTTGTTTTAATTTAATGACTATCTTGAAATATCCCATGAGATACGAAATAATTGAATTAAAAATCGATCCGTTACATCATGTAAATGACCAAAAAACATTGTGTTTTTGCATGTTTATCATTATTTCCTTTTATCAAATTTCATGTGCATGAAACCCCTGAAAATTTCTGAATTGTCGCGTTGTGGGGCAGCACTTGAAGCTGAAAGCGCTTTAAGTAATTTTAATTAAAACAAATGGCACTCGAAATAAAACACGCACATCAAACAGCCAGAGGGGGCGTTACATGGGTGGTTCCTGGTGGGACGGAGGGTGTGGTGGCTGAATGAAACAGACATAGCGTGTAATTACGCCCGACATATACCGTGGGAGAGGGGGGGATGGGTGAGGTCGGGTCGGATCCTTGTTTGTGCAGGAATCAAGTGGTGGTGCTGCTGCTGCTGCTGTTGACACTGCACGGCAGCGACATTCGCACTGCCACTACGCTCAGCCCGCATTGTGGTGGAAACCAACAGAGCAGAGAGAGAGAGAGAAAGATAGATCTCTGGCACCATGCTCTTCATTCGTGACAAGCTGGAGAGAAAGCAAACATGAGAGGCGAAGGACACAGGCAGCGACGAACAGCACACAAACTTCCGAACAACTTCATTTTCGGTGTTGTTGTTGAGTGTTTCCAGAGTACAAAGGGTATGTTGTGCACAGCAGCAGAAGGAAGCAGCCCCATCTAGAATTCAGCATTCAACAAATCAAATTTGTATATTTCGTGCCTACTGAACACCATTAGGATTCTTGTACAATTGGAGGGTATCCCATTGTCGTATCACACTACTTCTTCGACTTCGTCCAGGTTGTGTTGTTCAAATTGATGGTGGTTGCTCGCTGGTGTTGGTACTGTGGATATTGTCAGAGTGGGTGTTATTGTTCTCGTGGCACTTCTCGCGCTTGAATCGTGCCTCCAGCTTGCAACACAATCAAAAGACCCAGACATTAACCATCCCATTCCGCTTAACCCCTATTTGCTTCGATGCCAGAAAGCCGAACCCAATTGTAATTAGACTAGAAAGCTTTCCAGGGTCAAGGGAAGTGGATGGATATTCCCCAAAATTACATTTAATCATTGTTATTTTAGGCACTCTGTCCCCTGTCCCCCGTCTAGTCGGATTGAGTGTTTCGCTGACCTTTTCGCTGCCTTTAAACCCATTCCTACCCAAAATCCCTGGATGACACAAAAGCCAAACCACAAATCCACGTTCATATATCCAGGGTGGCATGCTCGTAAGTACATTTGATAAAAACCCACTTAGTGTGGCATTTCGGACTTAGCCAAAGCCCAACGAAATCTCCACCAACAAATCTTCCACATTCTCATCCATAACCCATTTAGGTGCTGGGTGCTGCTTCTGTGGTATGGATTCGTGGTGCTGTTGCTGCTGCTGTTGCCAGCGTTTAACACTTTGCGCTTGCCACACTTTTTGACAATATCAAACTTGAGTGGCACACAGATGACAGCAGGAGCGGGGGAGCACTGGCAGTAACAGTGGCAATGGCAGCTGCTGGCTTGGGCGGCAAATAAATAACGTTTAAAGCGTAAATATGGTAAACGACGTTAACGGGCGTCGCCCTCAAGTGTCAGTTGGCGGCTGTCAAAGCCACAAGAGGCCATGGACACCCCCACAACCGACTCCGCTCTCCTTAAGCTCCGTCTCTAGACAGCCGTCCTCTTTCCTCAGCCCCCCTTTTCACAGTACAGTTTCGCCAAATTCTGAAAATATTTCCATTATGATTTTCCTTCCTTACGAAATAATTCTGGCAAAATTCTAAAATATAGTTATACGAATTTGTTAGCTTTATTTAAGATATTACCAACAGAATGGCACAATATATTTCTCAGAAAATGTATGCTTTACTCTTCTCTTTGTATTTTGTATATTCTCTTCTTGGAACTTAATTGACAATGAAATTGTTTCTTCTCTTGTACTGTTTAGAAAATTCCATGAAAAATATTTCCTTCAATTTCAATATTATAAGGGAAAAGAAAAATTACTCCCCCAATGAGTTGTGACTATGAAAAATACAAATACAATAATTTAAAATTATTTAGCAACGTCTATTCTCTCAGTGTAGCATGTTTTTCTCTTCGTTTTCCGCCTGGCCACCAAAATTGACAATGAGATTGCGCATACGCCGCTTGGCCCCAAAATGTTCCACTCGCAATTACGTTGCCGAAATGTCGAGTCTTATTAAAACCACACTTGTTGAAGGGGGTGGAGATGAGGATGGGGATGGGGCTACCGGAAAGAAGTGGGTGACACAAAATCCTTCGCTGTCAGCTTGAATTGAGGTTTGGTTCGCCGGCTGCCAAAGACATTTTCAATGAATGCGAAATTCCCTTTCGGTCTGCAAGTGCGAGTGGAAATCACAGAGCTATAAAATTATTTCTTGGCATGCAAATTGCATCTCGGCCAGAGCCACAGTCATAGCCACAAGCCACGGGTCGGGGGACGGGAAGGACCGTTGCTTTTCCTTTTGGCTGCGCTGTCCACAGCGGATTGCAGATAAGCCCCGAACCAAATGGATTTTCATGGATTGCCAAGCCAAGTTTCCTTCCATTTGGCGGACAACGAGAAATAGTTTTCATATTTAATTGCACCGAGGGGGCAGCGAAGCAGCAACCCACAACGAACATGTGGCCAAATAGCGATGCCAAAGTGCAGGCCAAGTGCCACAGTAAATTACATCAAAGGAATGAAAATTTCTCAACTTGCAATTGAAATTTGTTTGCCAACTCAAACACGAACACGGTCTTAGGGAGGCCGTGGTTCTTCCGGCTGTGGACGGGGTCTGTTTGCCCTCAAAAGTTAGTCGAAATTAGACGTGGCAAGCAAGTAATGGAGACACCCGAAAGGAAATTCTTATTATTTGCATAAATTCCACACACACAAAGCCCCCGACAAGTGACAGGCCCAACGAGAATGGGGCGCCCAGGAGTTGAACGAAAGAAATGCAAATTGTGATGGAAAATTTAAATGTCAGTCAACAATTCAGTTGTTAAACTCGCATTACACACAGTGACAGGCGCTGGAACAGGCGCTGGCTTTGGTTATACAATTGTTGCTGTGGTCGTACTGTTGCCATGTGGTCCAGGACCCGAACACAGTCATTTGCTCGAGCTTGGGGCTCTCTGTTTTAGATGCTGCGCTTAATCGAAAAGCGTGCGTGACAGATGGAGTGAGTGAGCAGAGCACTGGCGGTGGGGCGACTAGCTTATCATTCCTGGAAAGGAAAAAAAAATTAAAGAGAAAGGAAAAGAAAAAGAAAAATAAAAGAAAACTTTCCTCACACACTGCCAGCGAAACTTTTCACAGAAGCAGCAGCAGCAGCAGAAGATTTTGGTTCTGCCATTTGATGGCAATTTAAAGTTTTTCCCACCCTTCCCCTTCTTTTTGGTCGGATCGGATCGGGTGTGCCGAAATAAAAGTTTTGTGTGTGGCACAAGTTTGTGGCAATTGTGCGAATCCTTTCTGCCGCTGCTGCATGCAGCATAATCGATTCGCTCTTGCCTTTTTCATTTTAATAACTTTTTCACGACTACCGACCGGCACTGCAAAAATTACGTGCGGCAAGTGCAAGAGCAGCAAACAACTAACAACCCAACAAACAGCCAACAAACAAGCGGCCGCCATCGACAACAATGGCAACAAAGGAAGGCACTAAAGCTGCACCATAGCAAGGTAGAGGAAGCTGGGCAGCTGGGCACACAAATTGCAAACTGGGTTAAACACTTGGCAAGAGTTTCCGCCAGAGTTTCCACCTGAGCTTCTTCCCTTGACATTTCGCCGGAGTGCAACTTTGTTGCTGTTTCGCAATGCATTCAAGTGGTATGTTTCCTTGGCCATAATTGAGGCACGCGCTAAGCGCAGCGCAGCGGGGAGCAAGGCAAGAAGTGATTTCTGGTCGAAAACCCTTTTGAATGCATGTTACAGTTGGATCCAATTACTGGGTGCCACGTAGTCGAGCCATAACACATTCCATGCAATTATTGCTGCAACTTCCACTCACCCAGAAGTTAATTTCCGCTTGGGCGCCGCAACTGAAACGAGAGAATGCGCAGGGAGAATAGTTTATAATTAATATTAACGCATTTTCGTTTCAATAATGAATGGAGCTAATTTATTTACAACATGCCAACCGCAAGAGCTGGCTCCTCCTCCCCGGGGGATAGTGTCCGTGGGAGATGGGGTTTTTCGGGCAGTTTCGTGGTATGGTGCATGGGGACCCGGTTTTGTGTGGCAGGTGGAAACGTAAAAGTTTCATTTTGTGAGTGCTGTCGCAGCCAACGCGTTTTAATTCAATTGAAAATGATTAAAAATTAATTCAAAATTAAATGTACGCTCAATAAAATTGTAGTTAAAAATGGGAAAAATGGGAAAAATGGGAATAATGTCGAATGAAAAGAAGGTGGAGGCTGAGAGAGAAAGAGAGAGAGATGGAGAGATTATTGACAAATCGTGACAGTTTTGCGGGGCTAGACTCTCTAGACAGAGGGCGAAAAAGAGTGAGCAAAAGTTGATTGGATGGCAAATGTCGAAACTCAAACGAAAGAACGCACACACGCACACACGCGCACTCACATACAGCACATGGATGTATCGCTGTATGCGTGCGTGTGGAAGCGGAAACGGAAGTTGTTACAAAGTCTGTTGAAATCAATTTGAAAAGTAAACTTGTTACGTGGAAAACCCGAAACAAGAGAATGAACCGAAACAAAGAGAGGGCAAAAGGAGAAGCAAAGTGACGGCGAGCCGGGAAAAAAGGAAAACTAATTGCAGTGCGCTCACTTTTTTCTGCTTGTTAATGGGCCTGCAAACGAGCTTCAAGTTTTTACCTCCTCCTATTGATTCCTACACACACACACACACACAGCCATGTGCCTGTACGTGTGTGTGCATGTGTGTACAAGTGTTCCATTTTGTGGCACCAGCAAAGTTTTTGCCTCATTTCGCTGGCATTGTTTGTGCACTCTCAAAAATCTGCGTGTGGCAGGGGCACGGCACAGCCCTTTCGCAGCTGCAATTAAAGTTAGTTGAGAACCGCTGTAGCCCCCCAAATACCCACACACCCAGTGTTGTACTGCACTTTAATTAACCCAACTCCAGGACTCCATTCTGCAGTCTCCCTTCCTAGTTTCCCTACTTTTCCCAGCTAATGGCAATTTATGGGCGATAATTTATGGTCTGAGTACATAAAAACAAGTGGGGAAAAATATAGCCAGAACAAAAGAGCCAAAAAGAGAGTGGGAGTACTCTCGGTGAATGGCAGTAAATGGTAAATGCTGCTGCTAATAGAGAGAGAATCGCTCGGAACTTATTCTAACCGTAACGTGATCTAGAAAAGGGTTTAGGGTCTAGAAGCTATTTCTACGACCCTAGTCGGTTGATTAAAACCCAAGATATAGTGATCAGAAAAATATGTGGATGCTATGCAACGGCTTGGAAAAGGCTTGTTGTGTGACTTCATTTGGCAGCCCAATTTTTGACAAAAATGTCAGGAAAGAATAAGTACGTTGGGGAAACGGTATTGAAAATGTAAAACCAAATAATACTCGATCAAAGGAAAATGTACATCCCATTGCCTAAATCACTTTTTGCAGCATGTGAGGGAGGTGCATAAATATACATAGCGTAGAATAAGCCAAATGGAAATGGAAATCCGAATGCAGACTGCCATTTGGTATTCAATGGGAATTTAGAGAACTGAAATCGATTACGTTTGTAGCCGACTAAAGCCCCTCCATCAAAAGCGTATCAGGCATGAAAATTTGCATTCGACTTAATTACTGGAGATTGCTAGTGCGATTGCGATTGCCTGCAATTGCAACAGCCACATCTAAGCCCATGACCATGCCACCATAGTGGAGGACCACCCGTCGGCAATCAGCATTCAGCATCAAAGGCATTTAATTGCCATAAATCTGCAAAAGTTGTTAAAAACCCATTTAAAATTGTCACCATAATGGAACTGCTCAATGGAACGCTCAACTGTTGGCTCACTGGCATTTATCCAACTATCTGCCACAAGCCATCCGCTACATTCCACTCAACCTCTGGCGGGCCCAATGTACGTCTTGGTTCAGCTAAGGAGCTTGGCCTGTAACTGGCAGCGTGTTTCCTGCTTCCTGCTTCTGTTCTCCTGTTTCTGGCTTCAGTTAAAGGCTGCAACTGCAGCTTTCGTGCTTGGATGTTAATTAGAAAACTCTTGCAAATTATTAAAAACTTTCCGAGCTGTCAGACAGACAGGAGACAGAGACGGAGAGGTGGATAAAGTGAGAGAGTAATAACTGAAAGAGTTGCCAGCTTAGTGAGAAATTTCGTGACAGAACTTGCTAGATGTTTTTGCTGCTGACTTTATAAAATATCTTTCGCTTTGAGAAGAGATTGGCTGCAGCAAAGAAAAAAAAAAGATGAGCAAATATGCGTGTACATGGCGGAGGTGAAACTACTGTATGAACTACAAGAACTGTGAGGTTAAAATACATTAATTAACTTGGAACTCTTGCACTTTGTTGGATAATTGTTGAAGTGCTGAATTTAGAGGGAATTCTAGTGGAACCCCATTAAGATATTAATTTTATACATCTGTGGTTTCTTTTTACTATTTGTAGCTTTTAGTTTTCTTAATGCGCAATGTAACAGGTTTCCGCATTTCACAATTTGTGAATCTTCGCAGCCCTTGCAATGCGGAATACTTCTACGGAATTCTACGCGACCAATGAACATGATATCTCAGAAACGAGTAGATCCCATCTCAAGTGTCTCGATCTCAGTCTCAGTCTCGGTCTAACTGACATCTATGCACCGCTCACTTAGCACCTTTTATTAGTGCCAATTAAGAATGATTTCAAGCTATTTTTTAGATGAGATTACAGCCGCAGTCTGCCACGAACCAGATAAGCGATCAACGGAGAATCTGTGGCGTGTGGGTCTGACATTGGGCTGGCTGTAGATGTCGCACTGTTCTGGGGGGTATCCACGTATCCGAACATCTCGACTGCGGTTAGTAAGTCGCGCGACCTCTAAGCGCACAGTTCAACCGAAACGTATCTGGAGATGGAATCGACGAAACCAAAGAAGCCAACAGAGCAGTGGGACAATGGCCTTGAGTTTCTCTTCTCGTGCATCTCCCTGTCCGTGGGTTTGGGCAACATCTGGCGGTTCCCGTACATTGCCTTCCAGAACGGCGGCGGCACCTTCGTCATACCGTATCTGATTGTCCTGCTGGTGATTGGCCGTCCCGTGTATTATCTGGAGATAGCCTTGGGCCAGTTCACTGGCCGCGGAGTGGTCAAGGCCTTCGATATGGCACCCCTGCTCAAGGGCGTGGCAGTTGGACAGGTGCTGGCCACGGGTGCATCGATTACCTACTACTCGAGCATCATGGCCCTGACCCTGAGGTTCCTGGTGGCGTCCTTTGGCTCGGAGCTGCCCTGGAGTCGGTGCTGGGAGAACTGGGGCAGTGATTGCCATGACGGCAGCATCGTCAATGCCACAGGAAAGATGTCGCCAGCACAGCTGTACTTTGAGTGAGTTCTGGAAGTATTCTATATCGATCGAGGGTGTTAACCCTTTTGCTTCACTTTCTTCAGACGTGAGATCCTCCACGAGGTGCCCAACATTGACAACGGTCTGGGCATGCCCAACTGGGATTTGGTCGGTTGCCTGGTCGTGTCCTGGCTCGTCATTGAAGCAGTGCTGATACGTGGCATCAAGAGCAGTGGAAAGGCCGCCTACTTCCTGGGCGTATTCCCCTATGTGGTGCTCCTCGTTCTACTCATACGAGCTGTTACCCTGCCCGGTGCCATCGATGGCATCATTTACTTCTTCAAGCCGCAGTGGCGGCAGCTGCTCGATCCGCTGGTGTGGTATGCGGCCGTCACACAGGTTTTCTTCTCGCTGGCCATCTGCTTTGGAACCGTGATCACCTATGCGAGTTACAACAACTTTAACAGGAATGTCTACAAGTGAGTTATCTTGCGGGGGAAGTCCCTGATTCATGACCCAATCCTCCCTCTATTATCGCTAACCGCAGGGACATTGTAATCATCACCACCATGGACACTTGCTCCTCGATCATCGCCGGCTGCATTACCTTTGGGATATTGGGGAATCTGGCCAAGGAGACGGGCATCTCAGATATTGGCAGCGTGGTGAAGGGCGGGGCCGGTCTGGCCTTCATCTCGTATCCGGAGGCCATCGCCCGCTTTGAGTATGGGCCACAGGTAAGGTATTGCGAGCTGCCTGCCCCTTGGGCGCCCTAAAGCGCAACTACCTAAAGATGTTCGCGGTCCTCTTCTTCCTCATGCTCTTTGTCCTAGGCATCGGCAGCACCGTGGGCATGGGCACCTGCATCCTGCGCGTCTTCCGGGATCAGTTTGGGCCACGTTCGACGCCCACGTGGGTCCTGTCCAGCTGCCTGACTATTGTGGGTTTGGGTGTCAGCATCGTTTACATGACGCCGGGCGGACAATTCATTCTCAATCTGGTGGACTTCTATGGCGTGTCCTTTACAGCCCTGATCCTGGCTATTGGTGAACTGGTGGCCGTTGCCTGGATCTATGGTGAGTCCCCTCCCGCCCCACCACTCGTGCGAATTCTTTGAGTGGCTGCTGCTGCTCTCGTTCTAAGCACGTATCCTCTTAGGCGTCCATCGCTTCTGTGCGGACATCAAGTTAATGATGGGCATCGAGACGGGCTGGTACTGGCGCCTCTGCTGGTCCTACATCACGCCGGGCCTGATGGCTGCTGTCCTCTTCTACATGCTCTTCGACATGTCGCTCCTCACATATAAGGGCGTGCCCTATCCAGCGTTAGCTCATGGTAAGTAACGATTGAAGCCCAGCCCCAGCCCCAGCTCCCTCTCACTGCTCTCGTTTTTTTTCCCTCAGTTTTTGGCTGCTGTTTGGCCGCATTGGGGCTGCTACAATTGCCAGGCTGGGCATGCTATGCCCTCTACAGGCAACGCAACAGTCCCGGCAGCTTCTGGCAGGTATGTTGCGGTGGACGATTGAGGAGCCATCTCGAACGCTCGTGCAGC